TACTCATCTATTTCCTTAAATCATTGTTAAAAAGAACCACAGGCAGAAAGGCAAATGAGTGATCAAAAGGCCACTGGTGAGAGGTCTCTCAGCTCCCTGGGAAGCTCCTGCAGCTTCCAGTCTTGGCCCTTTTGATCCCCAGCCGACGGAAGCAAGGCAGGACCCTTGTAGTGTTTGAGCAGCAACACATAATAGGGGCAGAGAAGCAAAGAGGTGGAACAGGCCCTCAAGAGGGACTAAAATCAGGCTGGGACGATGCCGCCCCACCTATCCATGTCTACTCGAAATCCAGTCTCACCCTCTTTGGTTCTAATTTTGTCAGCAGTAGGCACCTGCGAGTTTCCCATGAGGACTAGAAACCTACTGACAAATGGGAAGGACCCCAGATTCTTTCAAGCGCGACTGGAGCCCAAGTGTGAGAGGGCAACCCCCAACCCCACAACCAAAGCTCCTAATCTGAACATTGCCACTGTTGCTTTCTTCACCACCCACCTATACCATTTTCAGCCGTTCGGGCAAAGTGAGAAGAACGCCATCCCTGTCTGTCTGTCCCGCCCTTCCTCCATCGCTACTTACCACCCAGATATTGGAGCGGGCCTGCAGCTCCGCGTTGACCCTGAAGCCCCCAAAGTCCGAGTCTACCTCCAAGCCAGCTGACTTTGCCAACTCTACGTTGGGCTCCAGACCCACAGCAGCCACAAGGTGATCTGTCTCCACCTGAGCAGGAGATACAACACACACACACGCACACACAGATGGATTTCTTCCTTGCCTCCCCCTGCTCACACACAGCAAGAGGCAAGGCCCCCAAATCCTTTATCACTGCCCGATACTCACATTCCTTCCATCCTTCAGTTTTATTAGCAGCCGGTTCCCAGAGACAGACACTGACTTCACAACTGCATTGGGCATCACGTTCACCCCCTCTGAAAGGAAAACACAGGAGGAATTTGTAGCCCAGAGAAAGGCATTAAAAAACGGTTGGCAAGCACAGTTTCCTCAAAGATTGGGCCAACAGGTCACAAATTGTCTTGCTTGCAAATGGTAGAGCCAGGCGGAAACAAAGATTGCATGCCAAGTGGGAGTGGGCATCACAGTCATTCCTGCAGATCCATTTTGCTGTCAATATTTTAAAAGCCTCTCGCATAGGAGAAAAGCACCACCATCTGTGAAACGGATGTAGGAGAGACGACACGCAATCAATGCTCCGTCTAAGTTGTGCGGTCCTGTGAGCAAAAATTCTACTTTCTGAGCTACTGGCATTAAAGTTGTGAGCAAGGGATTTGGCTACTGAATAAATTAATTTGCTCTGGAGCCATCCTTCCTGCGCTAAGACAAAAATGTGTGAGCCGGAGGCTAAAAAACTGTGAGCTAGCTCACACTAACTCACCTTAGAGGGAACACTGCCCACAATCCAACTTCCCCACAGGTCAGCAAAGCCACAAGGCCCCTCACATAAAGGCCCCTCACACTTCCCTTGCTCAGAGATAGATTTTCCCTCCAAAATTTTGTTCCCTTCTGTGACTGAGCCACAGCAACATGGTTTTCTTCTTTGTCTTTAAAAGACTGCCTGTTCCACCCTGTCACAGAGACAGAATTTGGCTTTTAGCCCAGCCCTAGGACCTGAGGGAAGAATAAGGAGCCCTCAACAACGCTCAACAACGCTCCTTCAAAAAGGTTTAAGTTTATTGAGTACCGTAAAGGCAAGTAATCTGTGCATACATTCTATGTCAGAACTAACTCTAAAAGCGGGAGGAGAATAGATATACAGGATTCAAAGTGAGGCCCCCTGACGAAGTCGAGCCAATCAGAGAAGCAACTGCCCTAAACTAACGGGTTCATATTCCCAGCGAAGCATCAGGAGAAAGATACCAAGGTCAGACACTCAGGCTATGAGATAAGACCGGAGAAGTGAAAGTTAACATTCCAGCATAACAAGAAACACCACATCAGTCGCCTCTCCCCCCACCACCTGCAATGGCAGCATAGCTGACATGAACCCCTTTAAATGGCACTTGAGGTGATGTAAAAGTCAAACAGAACAAAAGGTTTTATTTAGAGGACGGGGAAGGTCAGGTGTAATCCGGAGTGGCTAACTTCAAGGCAAAAATCAGTGGTTGTACAGATTGTAATTCTTTATCCAGGAAATTGAGGGTTACTGAAGATTATTTTCTTAGTTATTGAGATCTTACTATCGAGAGGCTTTCCCCCTGTGTCTTCCAAACGCTACAATGCTTCTTAATAGAGTTTCCTATTTCTCCTCTTATTTCCTTGAGGCTGCTACCTCCTTTCAGTACCTAACCCCCTTATTGCTATCTAGCTCTTGAGGTGTCTAAAGCAGTTTCCTTCCACAACAGACCAGGGATCTCCTCCTCCCAGAGATCACTCTCCCTGTTTAACTGGGCAGGGATTCTTTGGATTTCCCTAGAAGATATATCCCCTTTCCTCTGGCCTGAATGGGAGTCTCATCTCATTGCCCAACCACCTTACCAAATCTCATTTCCAGTTCTTGTGTCTGTGTAAAACTGCTTTCTGCATAGGCTGAGACTCGTTCAGTTCTTCAACTGAATTCTTCCTCAGAGCAGATTTTCAACGGTTAAGGCACAGAATTGTCTCTCTTCTCTCAAATCCAGAATCTGTCAGAGTAATGCCCATTCCCCCTCAGCACCAGTGTTCCCCCTAAGCTGAGTTAGTGTGAGCTAGCTCACATTTTTTTAGCCTCCAGCTCACACATTTTTGTCTCAGCTCACGAAGGATGGGGCTCCAGAGCAAACTAGGTTATGCAGTAGCCAAATGGCTCGCTCACAACTTTAATGCTAGTAGCTCACAAAGTAGAATTTTTGCTTACAAGACTCCACAGCTTAGAGGGAACATTGCTCAGCACCCAGCTAATAAAAATTTCTGCCCTTACTTAGAGCTGGCTAATCAGAGTGCCTGGAGTAGCCTGTCACTCAAATCTCTCCATTTTTGAGGAGATTTAACTCTTCAACTCCCAGCACTCTGATAATGCAGCATTTTGAAGCCTGTTTTAAAGGCTGTCTGTCACAGCGACACGCTAACTTTCAGCCCTGATTTGTTGAATTATACTGCAGATCAGTCCTCTCTCTCTCTCTCTCACACACACACACACACACACACACACACCTACTGGGTTTGCTGGGACCCCAAACTGCCCACTATGCCTCCTAACAACACTGAGGCTGCGGTCACACACAACTACATAATCCACTTTCAATGCACTTTCCAACTGGATTCTGCCAGTTCACACAGTAAAAATCCAGTTGGAAAGTGCACTGAAAGTGGATTGAAAATGGATTGTTTAGCGTGTGTGACCGCAGCCTGAATGTGCCTATATAAGAGCATATGGATTTCGATTACAAGAAAACATGGCGGTTATGACCAGTGGGAGAGACGGGAGAGTTGGCGGGAATGTTAACAGAAGAGGAGAGGCCAGTCAGAGAGGACTGTAGAAAAAAAACAACTGGCGTATTAGCTGTGTCTGCACTCATCAGCCAGGTAGGCAAGAGGTTGCCATAAGGAGCCACAGAGGCCGCTACCCAGTTAGAGAGGATGTTTTTTAGTCTGCTAAACCTGTTTCAATTTGAAGGACTCCTGAAGAAAAAAGGGACAGGAGTTTTTAGAAGATGCGCGCACAAGTTCCAGCAGGCACCTTCTTAGGAGAGGCAGTCCCTTCCGTGTGACCAAAGGAGAAAAAGCCTCCTCTAAGATGGTGCTTGCTGGTTTGTAAGTACTCGGAATTTTTAAAAGTTCCTTTTTTAAAAAAAGTCTGCTCCCCAGCTTTTCAGGAGCAGCATTTAATATCAGTCAGTGGGTTTAGCAAACTATCTGATTAAACGATGCAGTTCAATCTCAAATAAGAAACGTCCACGCTGGAATCCCAGGGATCAGCAGCATCCTCCCAGGGCACAACTCAGGCACCGAAGCACAGACTTGCTCCCCATCGCACCATGACCACAAAACAGAGAGGTGCCCTTCAGATGCTTGAGAAGATGAGGCAGCCTCAGCTATGCCTACTACCAGGACCTCAGGCTGATGAGCACAGAGATGCCCAAAGCCGAGAGTCTGAGCCACAGAGGGCAGGAAGGGACCTTACCTCGCCTAACTTTATCTGTGGTCCAGTTGCTCAGGTACTCGGGAAGGACTTTGCCCATGTTGCCGTTCTCCGGGAACATCTGGATCACCTCCAGGCCCTTGGACTGTGCTGTAGAGGAAACCAGAGAGCTTGTGCTGCTGGCCAGGCCGAGGCAAGGGACGAGGCCAGCCACAGCCCAGCTGAAGAAACGGATGCGTGCACTGCGGTACATTAAGCAAGGCCCTCTCGATGGTTTTCACCTGTGCTCAACAAATTCCCCACTGACAATACCATTTTCTGCTTAAGTTCCTCAGCATACTGGTATACAACGGCATCCAAGAAAACCAACTTAGCCACGGCAGGGCAGTCCAAGCTTCCCAAAACGCTTTTTCAGACACAGAGTTCATTTGCCCGAGATCTTGACCGACAGTCCTAACCCTCATGACTGCAAAGTGAAGCAGGCAAAATAGGGTGAGCAGAACCTGATACAATTTCAGCAGCGGGAGGGGGGGTGAGCAGGTTTCTCCGTAATGTGGGGAGGAATGAGTGGAGGTGAAATGTTTCCGTGGCAGGCCCGTGGCTACAGTGGGGCCTCACCCCCCCCAACTTACTGCCAAGGCCCCACGACTTCCCATCCAGCCCCCAGGCTCCCCGACACAGACCCACTTGCTTGCCCAGGTCCCCGGCCGGCAGCCCCTCTCCTGTTCAAGCAGCCAAGCCGCGTGGCTTTTTGGTCCCATGGCTCCACCTCCCAGCCTGCGTCACTGTGGCTCAGCAGCAGCACCCCACTCGAGGAGAGAAGGCGGCAGGAGTGAGAGGCTGAGCTGCGGCGGGCCAGCTCCGAAGGGGTTACGCTGCTGCGGGGGCTGCCTCTCGGTTTAGCTGCCCTCGCTGCTCTCAGACTTATTTAAGGGCCCCATGAAATAAAAAATCCTGGCTAGAGGCCTGCTCCATGGAGCTCCTTATTCCCGGCTCTATCCACATTCAAAACCATTTATAGCTCCGTAATGCGGTGGCTCAAGTGGTTAAGATGCTGAACTGCAGGCTGTGGAAGGTCGGTAGTTCAGCAGTTCGAGACCCGGGTGTGCCGCATGACGGAGTGAGCTCCCGTCTCTAGTTCCAGCTCCTGCCAACCTAGCAGTTCGAAAGCAAGAAACTGCAAGGAGATAAATAGGTACCACTTCGGTGGGAAGGGAACAGCGTTCCGTGCGCCTTGGTGTTTAGTCATGCCGGCCACATGACCACAGAAACGTCTTCAGACAGCGCTGGCTCTTTGGCTTGGAAACGGAGCTGAGCACCGCAACCCTAGAGTCGGATTCGACTGGCTTTCGAGCAAGGGAACCTTTACCTTTAATTATATCCTGTCAAAGCTTAGAACAGCTTCCATCCAGGACTAAAGGACAGCAGGGCCGGTGTCATGGGAATGTCTCTCTGGAGGCTGTTCTGTCACTGGGGTGCCACGACAGAGAAGGTCCTGTCCCCGACGGCCACCCCTGGTGCACCCAGAGCAGGGCCCTTAGCTGGGTCTTGGTGGATGAGCAGGTTCATCGAGAGTTGCTGATCCTTCAGATGCTCTGGGCCCGAGGCCACTTAGGAGCTACGTGAGCCAAAAACACACATTTTCAGCTATGGCCAGAAACAAAGTGGAAGCCAGGGAAGGTCTTCTGATACCAGCAAATTACCAGTCTGGCAGGTCCCCGTTAAGATCAGCCTAGCTGCACGACAAAACCTATCGCTTGCTGCCAGTGACCTTTCCAGATGGCAAAAGCCCACGCTCCGAGTTGGGATAGAAAGGGCTAAAGAGATGTTGGGGTGGGGGCGTTACATGTCTTCTCCCTCTAGGCACGGCGGTTAAAGCGAGAAAGCATTTCCCACTGAGGCATCCTCTGTAGAAGGCAGGCTTCAGTTCAGAGACCGAGCACATTTTCTACATGCCTAAAGATATTAACAGAGTGCTGGAAGAGAGTATTGGCCCAGATCTGCTGCTAGACAGGACTGACAAAACAGGACTGTTGACAGAGATCTGGGCATTCTAGGACGATGCCACACAAGTGTGGAATGTCGTACGAGGCTCAGAACTGCAAATGCTGACCACCAGAGCTGTGGCTCGCTGCAAAAGCATGTTTCTGCAGAGACAGGCTGGATAGCATGAGGACTGCTGAAATCCCAAAGCAAGAGGCAGAACAAGCGTTAAAGGGGTCAGGATTCTCAATGGCCTGCAGCACCCACCCTTGCCACAACTATAAGGAGCAGAAAATCCAACTTTAATATGCATGACTTACAGGTGACAAAAATCCCACCTCGTCGTAGATTTTTTTTAAGCACAGAGAAACACACCGCTGTGACGATGGGTCTCTGTAGGTACAAGGCGACTCGAGATTTCTTGTTCTGTATTCAGAACATTTTACGATTCTGGCTTTGCAGTCACAGCTACCTATCCCGCGGGCTAGGCAAACAGCAGAACTGACTCACCGATTACATTTTACGTCTGAACATCTGTCTGAACCCAGGCCTCCACCCCTCAACCGCCCACCAGTCACACTCACCCTTCCGGCCCAAAGCGCAAGCCAGCTCGCTCCCCAGGAAGCCGCCACCGATAATGGTGATCGACTTGACTTCTCTGGAAATTTTCTCCAGCGAGCGGAAGTCATCGATCTGCAAGGAGAAGCGGGGAAAAGTCCGGTTTTCTCTGTCTTCTTGCCAGTAGCAGGAGCTACGACCTGTCTCAAGACATTTATTAGCACTTGCAGGCTAAAACCTCCGACTGGTTTTAGCCTGCAAGTGCTTCAGGATCAGAGCCTCAATATTTTGTTTATTTAACAGTGTCTGATAACTGACACCTCTTGCTCTGAATTATTGCATCAAAATGTCTGTGCTGTTGCAATCTTGAGTATGCTCTTCAGGTGTGCACCTGTAAGCTGCAAACCTACGATGACACAGCCAGCGGAACTGGAAGAAGAAGCAGAACACAGCTAGTTCCACTGTGGGCCGGATAGAAGCCTTCCAGGGGCCTGATCTGGCCCCCGGGCCACGTTTGACACCCCTGCTCTAAAGCATCCTGTACACTGACTGTGCTTCATGCAAGAGAATAGTAAAAGAAAGCTGCCAGGGAGTAGGAAAGGGAACCAGGGGCCATGTCTCCTTTTGTTCTGGTTGCAATACAATGTTTGCAAAAGGCCTTCATCAGCCAATACGACTAACACGGCTACCCCTCTCAACTGGTGACGGTGCAGCTAACTGGAGCAATGGACTCCCTTGTCTGATGGGTGAACCACTGCTGGGAGAACCCACCCTGGTCAGGATTACCTTTCGGAACAGCGTAAGCCTCTGCAGCACCTCTTTGCCCGCCCTTTCGATCACAGGAAGATTCCTCGGGGAACCGCCTGAAGACAGAATTTAGATTCCAAGATCACATTCAGAAGACCCAGGTTCCTGGACATCCAGGCCTGCTGGAGAACAACTCCGGCCTCCTCTCCAATCCACTGGGGGAAGAGGACGTCTCTCACACTCTCACCTGCGGCGATTAGGCACTTGTCATAGGAGATCTGGTTGCCGTCATCAAGTTTAACTACGTTGCCTCGGACATCCATGTGGACCACCTGCAAGGCAAACCACAAGTTTGCATCTCCCGGGGAGGGTTTTGTTCAGAGACATTCTCTGCAACCTTGGCGTGAAGGCACTCTTACTCCCGATTATTGTTTCCAGTTCAGGAGGGAGTAGCATCCAAGGGCTGTCAGCATGCACCCTCTGAAGTGGCAACAATTTTTAAGACAGCCTTCAAGGCTTAGGCAATGTGCTGCTGTTATGTATTGGGATTGAATCATCCCTGACTGAATCAACCCAGAGACTGGCTGAGCTTGGAGCACAAGAACAATAGCCGACCAGGACCCTGGAATAAACCAATCAAGTCATAATGTTATGTAAATAGCCTATCACTGGGAGTGGGGTGTGCTTGGGTGTGGCAATTGCATGCTATTTAACAGAGTCTTGTCTTGTAGTTTTGATGAAATCACTGAATAAACCAGAGCTGATCGCTGCAATGCGTCTAGAACCCAGTATTTAACAGCCGCCTTCTTTCCTGCTGTTCCCTAAACAAAATCTACCGCTTGCAGCTGCCATGATGGCCACAAGAGGCCTATTCCACCCCTAATCCTTCACCTCTGACTGCTGCATTTCTTTTACTTTGCCATGCCCTCAAACCTCTGAAGTACTATCAGGGACTACACAGGACAGGGACATAAACCAGGAGTCCAGTGGCACCTTCAAGACTACCCAACGTTTATTCCAGCAGGAGCTTTCGTGTGTCATTTTGCACACATTTCTAAGGAATGTTATTTCCCTCTAATGTGCATCTGATGAAGAGAACTCTGGCTCACGCGAGTTCCCACTGAAATCAATGTTGTTAGTTCTTTAAGAGGTCACTGGACTTTGGGTTTCTTATGCTACAATACGACTAACACAGCTACCCCTCTGAATTTGCATAGGATAGGGCCTAACGGATTAGCACACCACATGCACTGTGTGTGGGATTCTTTGCCTCCTGGTGTTATTTGTTCCACGTTCCAACCAGCTTGGTGTAGTGGTTAAGAGCAGCAGACTCTAATCTGGAGAACCGGATTTGATTCCCCACTCCTCCACAGGAAGCCTGCTGGGTGATGTTGGGCCAGTCACAGTTCTCTCGGAGCTCTCTCAGCCCCACCTCCCTCACAGAGCGTCTGCCATGGGGAGAGGAAGGGAAGGTGATTGTAAGCCGCTCTGAGACTCCTTCGGGTAGTGAAGGGCGGAGTATAAAACCAACTCTTCTTCTTCTGTTGAGGTACTCTGGTGGTATCTATTCGCTACTGCTAGTTCTGTAGCTGAATTTTGATGCCTCCTTTGTTTGTGTGTTTCTTTTTGGGGGGGGCGGGGCGGTCCTGTCACTTTATTTCCTACTTTATCCTTTAAAAAAAAAGAACTCTAAAAAATCTAAACTTTTGCTAACCACTGGGTGGATTTTTCTCCCCTCAACCAAAAAGTGGGACAGAAATATTTTAAGCATCTAAATGACAAGGAATCTGATCAAAAGAACCATCTTCACTATCATACTAAATGAAATCACGGCCCAAATCTCCTCAGCATTTCATTTCGGCACAGCCCTGTTCAAAATAAAACAAATTTCCATTTAAACCCTGTTTAGCTAACAGCTAAATAGCTAACAGAATGCTCAGAAAATGTACGGCAGTGAAACAGGTCCACTCGGATACAAGGGCAGGACCTTTTGGGACTATCCAAAATCAAATAAGTATGTGAATAAATACTTCTAATTTAAAAAGAAGACCTACCCCCCAGAAAAATAAACATTTGAATGAGGATTATGCTTGCTCCGTGAGGAAGCAGAGAGTGCTAATGGTCATTCAGTATCAATTAAAGGAGAGGGGGGAAGGTATTAGGAAACTGGCTGCCTGCATAAGCCCCTTGCAGTTTCCTGAAGGGAAAAATCCTGGAAGAAGAAGGATAGTTTCCCATCAGTTTTCTCCCTCTCCCCCACATTGTAAACAATAATACTGCATGGTTCATGCATTCCAGCGTTGTTACCTGTTTCAGTTCCTAAAACTTTACTAAGAAAAGCAATGTAGCAGCTCTGCTGTATTTTTATACTGCTTTTTAAAGATGGCCTAACAGAACTACAATGTCATAACATACCATTATTTTGAGCAGCTGTTAACATATTTTTCAAATACAACTAAATACTGGCTTAGAATCAGCCGAGGTTTAGGCAACCTTTTGGTTTTTAAGCCCTGCTGATATCGTTGTGTATCTTTTATGCTCTGATGGTTTACTGTCTTGACATTTTATTGCAGTTTGGCTTTCCGCAATTTTATATATTATGATGGGTCCATGGCTTAGTATTTTATACTGCTATTTTAGGATTAATCCTATGGTATTTTCAGCTGTTACCTATTGGGATTAAATTTGATCTGAGTGATTTTACTATTTCAATTTTTTATTTCGATTTAAGAGATGTTGTTACTGTTTTAATCATTTTTATACCACTTTTGGCTGCCTTCGCCATTTTAAAGTCATGAACAGAAAAGTGGGATATCCATTTTCTGAATGGAGCCAGCACACGCAGGCCCAAAAGAAATGAAAAAGCAACACTTGCTTCTCTCATCAAAACACCAATAAGATTTCTTTATATTTTCTGTCATCATGCCGGAGGGCAAAACTACAATATATTTTATAGACGTTTCTTGGGAGCTGGTGCCTAGAAAACATATTTATTTACTTCATCTATACCGCAACCTGTATCTCCAATGGGGACCCAAAGTGGCTTACATAGTTCACCTCCTCCGTTTTATCCTCACAACATCCCTCTGAGGTAGACTGGGCTGAGAACATGTTGCTAGAGCCAAGGGTAACCTTGCAAGCTTCCATGTAGGGCTGCCAATTCCCCCCCCGGGGGCGGGGAAACCCCCGCCCCAGAGGCCCGTTCCCCACCGCCGGCAGATCAGGCCCCGGGGGGAACCCCACCCCAGTGTGCGCGTCACCAGGAAGTGACGTTATGACGTCGGCATGCTGCGGGCGGGGCCACGACCATCCGAGGGGGAAACTCTATGTTCCCCCCTTGGAAAGTCGTGGCCCCGCCCCCAGCGTGCCCGGCGTCATAACGTCACTTCCTGGTGACGTGCGCTTTGCGCACGCGTGCATAGGACGCCAGACGGGAGTCCCCCGCTCCCGACGATTTTCGACTTGGCAACCCTACTTCCATGGCAGAGTGGGGATTCAGACCTGGGTCTCTCAGATCATAGTGCCACGCTCGTATCACTATACCACACTGGCCCATATGTGCCTATAAATATTCCTGCTTGTTAAATACATGAGGCAGGAAACCTCTTGGCTAATTTTTAAAAGTCATCACACTGGCACTGTGCTAATTCCACTATTTCCTGCTCCCCTGCTATCTTTGCCATTTCTCTCTTTTTTGGGGGGGGTTTTTATTTTTTGTGTGTATGTGTGTCCCTGACATCTGGCAACCTCTAGTGGGGCTTGGACATTTCAGAGAGGTGGCTTGCTATGGCCTGCCTCTGCGTCCTGAGCCCTGGTATTCCATGGAGGTCTCCCATCCTAGTACTCACCAGGGTCGGCCCTGCTTAGCTTCTGAGATCTGATGAGATCGGGCTTGCCTGGGCTATCCAGGTCAGGGAAATTCTCGCCACCGCTTATCTGACGATCATGAATCTCTCCCTGAAACCCTCCCTCTCTAGCCCCTCTCCATTTCCTTGACCACTCACCTGGCTTAAGCCCAGGGGATGGGCAAGGAAATGAAGGGGAACTAGAGAGGGACCCCCAGTAATATCTCAACAGTTATGGCCACAGTTATGCCTACCTTCCTTCCAGAGAGGACGGCCACTCCACCATTCTCTATGTAAGGCAGATCACGAGCAGGTACGTAGAAAGAAGGTGGCTGGAAGTATATACTGGGGGAGGGGTAGAAAATGAAAAGACACCAGCGTCAGAACCTTTTACCTTCAGGATTGCCTCTTCCCGTATTTATTTATTTATTCGCATCATTTATACCCTGCCTTTCTTCCCAACGGCAACCCGGTGCTGTTTACATTGTTCCCCTCTCCTCTATTTTATCTTCACAACAATCCAGTAAGGTAGGAATTCCCACCTGCTTTCAATACCATTGTAGGCTTGCTGTGTTCCGAGTGCCCCGCCCTTCTGCAGGGGACTGCCAGGGACACGGCCTTTCTTCCTGGCGGCACCTTCCTGGTGCGCTCGCTCACGCTGACCTCACTGCTGATTTGTAAAGCTGCCTTCAGATCCCTTTCGATCCACAAAGTGGGATGGGAATTTTAAAATTAACCTAAACACCAAAACCCACACACTCTCACCGAGAGAGAGATCCAGCAGAAAGTCCAAAGGGGCTTGTGGATCCTGTGCCCTGTAGGGTTGCCAGGTCCAGGTTGGGAAATTCCTGGAGATTTGGGGGGGTGGAGCCTGAGGAGGGTGGGGTAGGGGAAGGACTTCCGTGGGGCACAATGCCACCGAGCCCACCTCCCAAAGCGGCCATTTCCTCCAGGTGAATGGATCTCTGTCGCCTAGAGGTCAGTTGTAATAGCGGGAGATCTCCAGCCACCACCTGGAGGTTGGCAACCCTGGCCCCCTACCATCCTTTGATCAGGCTTCCTGTTCTGCTCCATTCCCTGTCAAACACTGTAATACCTGCTCAGATTTATTCGCCCTGACCTGGATAGCCCAGGCTAGCCCGATCTCATCAGATCTTGGAAGCTAAGCAGGGTTGGCCCTGGTTAGTATTTGGATGGGAGACCACCGAGGAAGTCCAGGGTCGCTATGCAGAGGCAGGCCGTGGCAAACCACCTCTGAACCTCTCTTGCCCTGAAAGCCCTACAGGGCCACCATAAGTCTGCTGCGACTTGACAGCATTAAAAAAAAAAAAAGATGATGTATTTTATTTATTCATATGTTGCCTTTCTGTTCGAGAGAACACCCAAAGCGGCTAACAAAATACGAAATCCTATTATCACACCTAGAATAGCAAATATTAACTAACAAGCTCTCCCCCGGGCAAAAGGCAGCGTCTCCAGGGTGCCCCTCCTTTTCAAGGCATCAGCAATCAAGGGGTGGGGCAGAGCAGGTGGAAAAGCGCGGCCTAGATGGCACAGCCTCCCCCAACGAAAGGCAGAGATGGCAGTGACTCCTGGCTGACACATAACCTGGACAGAAAACCCCCAACGTACTCCCATCGGTTCCCTCTTTGACAGGAAGGAGGAAACGGGGAACCCACCTCCGCTCTTTGCCGTTCCACTGTTTGAACCGCAGCGTCTCTGTGACATCGGGGTCTTCAGAAAACCACAGCTCTTTGGAAAGCGGGGGCCGCATGTAAGGGAGCTCGGGATCTTCAGACACAATCAGCACCTTTTAAAAGAGGGTAGAGGAAAGGGCCAGTTCAGCACCTCGATAAACACTCAGGTGTCGGCTAGGTCTTAACACCGGCACCAGTCCAAAGCAAAATTTCGGGAATGCTTTCGCTCACCCTGGCACCGGGGTCCCGAGCCCGGATGGACCTGGCAGCTGCAAAAGCAGCGGTGCCTCCGCCAATCTCAGCAGGAAAGGAGCATGGGATGGACATTCCGGGCGAGTGCTAACCTCTGTTTCGGGGGCTGCAAGAGACAGATAAACAGGTAGAAAGGGGAGTCTGCCTGTTGGAAAGGCACTCCAAACACATGTAGTGGGGGGGGGACCCTATGCAGTTTTTAATTTTTCTGCAGTGGGAAACAAAGAATAACACTACGCACTTATATAGTGCTTCCCAGTTTTCAAAGTGCTTAACGCACATTTTCTTGCTTACGACAGCCTTGCAAGGTCTCTGTTGTTATACCGCCAATGGAAGCCTGAGACGGAGCATGATTTGCAGCACTACTTCCCAGCAGAGAGACTCTTCTGTACACACACACACCCATTTCTGACGACATTCGGAGCAGAACCATCAGCAGGACGCCTGCTTCAAAGACTCAGCAATGTGTCTAAGGGAAAGGACCATTCACCACACCACCTAAGAACGCTCAAGGAGCACTGCGGGGGTGGTGGCGGCAGAGGAAAGGAGGACAGAACGCATGCCAATGTCACACCTTAAGAACAACCGTTACTGCCAGGAAGTAGTTTGCCGCTATGGGAAGGGCACCATCTCCACACCTAGGAATAATTATTCCCTATGAAGAAAGTCTGAGATGCACACACATTTGCAGGTTACTCCTCCCCCAGCAAACCCTTAGAGAAGAATATTATTTACTTTTTTGAATAAATAAACTTAAAATTATTTACTTTTTAAATAAATAAATAAATTTACTTTTTTAAATAAATAAAAAAAATAAAAATATTAGTCAGTCCAAAAAGACAGACAGTGGGAGCGATCTTAAAGGAGGTCTAGGAATCCTAAACAGGCCTACCTGGAATTAAGTTTCATTTTATTCAGTGGGGCTTTTTGTAGGATTACAGTCTAAAAATGCTAGGCAGACAGTGCAATCCCAAATGGAGTTACTCCAGACTAAGTCCGTTGTTTTCAAGGGACTTAGGAAACAGTAACTGTACATAGGATTGCACCGTAGGGAAGGTAATCGTGGTTCCGACTCCAGCCTCCCAGTTGCTTAGACTGGTGCCAGAAAGGAAAGTTTCCAATATTCAAACTTTTTTTTTTTGCTGAAAAATCTCGTAAAACAAAACTGTAATGTAACAAATGGATATAATATCAGTCAAATCAGTCAGCCTGAAAACCGTGACTACCCCCCCTTTTTTTTTTAAGGGGACTGTCTCTAGGAAGCATGCATATCTGTCTCATTCTGTCATACATAATCTGCCACACACATGACATTTTAACCACATTAAGTGGGCTTTACTGATTCTCCCCCCCCCCATCAAGTGTTTGTTTCCTAACATAAAGCAGAGAAAAAGGAGCCAGGAGAATATTTTTCCACAGCTTATGTAAAGCTAATTTAAAACCAGAATGACATTCACAGCAGGATCAAAACAATTCCTAAGTAACTAGCTAACCATTCTAAGGGGCGAAAAATGCAGGCTTTTCCTGGGAGACACCCCCCCACCCCCCAACACACTTCTTGCTTTATTATTACTCAAAATGGAGATCGACTGATTGGCCTCCATCAGAGTGTTTGCTTCTGGCTGATGCGCAAGCTCCTTTCCACCACATCTTGCAGAAAGGATACTAACGTTTAACTACTTCAGGGACCGGCTTCTGCTCAGCCTTAAGCGCCCGCTCACCTGCTGTGCTCTGGGAGGCGGCATCGGCTTCTGAAAAGAGAGAAGATGTGATTTGGCAAGACGCCCAAGCCCAGGTAAACAGAACGCATTTCACACAACATGGGTCAGACCAACGTGCTAATAACACAGGGATGCTGTAAACAGCAAACAGGGATGCGGGCGTTTCCTGCTACAGGAAAACTGCCCCCACTTCTGTTCTTACATGCCAGGAAATCTTGTAATCATGGATCCCACCTTGTTAGTTTGCATTCCACCAACATCCTCCTTTGAGCAGGTAGCCTGAAGCTCCCCCCTCCCATGACAACCGATATCCTGGAAGTATCAAAACTACAAAACCGTGCAAAAACATATTCTCAATGTATATATGTAGAAAGACAAGCTTATAATAAGTCAAAACATAACTTGTATACTTGCATTTGTACTTTTGCAACAAAATATATATGTCTTTATAAAAATTTATTTCTAATTATGTAGAATTATATATACCTTGTTGCAAAAGTACAGGCACAAGTATAAAAGCTGTAAGTTTTGACTTACTTATACACATTGTGAATACGTTTTTACACGGTGCTGTAGTTTTGACAACTTGACTGACACGCCATGGTCCTTTTGCTGTACTGTGATATTCTGAAGTTTGCAAGATCCCAGCATGAGCTGAACAACCTACCTGCTGGAGGCTTCCCATCTTGCTGGCGCCTCATTTCTATTAATGCAATCCGGTCCCTGTAACGCTCCTTGTCTTCTTGAAGCATCCTGTAAACCTAGAGAGTCAAACAGGGGATGCCTGTCATCCACTTGCTGGGCATGCTCAGCTTCTAAATTTATAGTGTGCTTTTAGGTCTTAATTCAGGGAGCCAACAGGCTTTCGTCTCCCTTGCAGACTCAAGGAAAGCTGCTTCCTTTCGCCAGAATGAGGCAGAGGTTGCCCGGCCTGGCAGGGAAGACTCTACGGGAGGTCATGTGCTTAAGCAAAAATCCTCGGCATGACCAGGAAGGAGCATGAGGGTCCTGTTTGGCAGACAGGCAAAGGAGGAAGCGTCTGCCCCCCCCCAAAAAAAACCCGCAGCTGCTGACAACAAACCGAGGCTTATAGCAACTACTAACTATTCTAAAGTAGGCTTCAGCAACTGCTGAAAATTGGTCAGATCTAATCCCCCGACAGGTTACTAGTTTTATTTTTGTATTTCAGTAGTACGTTATTAATTTTCGTTTCTAGACTGATTTATTGAACTGTTTCATAGGCCGCCAACTGTTTTGAGTGCAGGGAAAGCAGCACACAGATATTTTAAATCGTTAATTATAATAGCAAACTGGCGGGCTTCTGTGCCAATCATACAAACAGCAAAAGCAGGGCCACCCATAGACAACCTAGGGGGTCTCTACATACTCAAGAGAAGACGAAGAAGAGAAGAGATTGGATTTATACCCCGCCCTTCACTACCCAAAGGTGTCTCAGAGCGGCTTACAAACTCCTTTCCCTTCCCCTCTCCACAACAGACACCCTGTGAGGTAGGTGGGGCTGAGAGAACTCTGACACAAACTGCTCTTTTTTTTAAGAAGAGCTCTTATCAGAGCTATGGCTTGCCCAAGGTCATCCAGCCAGGTGCAAGTGGAGGAGTGGGGAATCAAACCCGGTTCTCCCAGATTAGAGTCCGCGCACTTAACCACTACATCAAACTCAAGGGACTTCCCATGTTTCTAAGAAAGAAACAGAGCTTTCTAAATCAAAAGGGGGGGGGGAATCAAACAACTCAGCCTGATGAGGACTAAATACGCCTCAAAAAAGGATGGAATGTTGAGAGCAGCCGAGTGTCCCTGAAAGGAAAACTAGCCTGCTCAAGCTCCTGAGAGCTTAAAGAATCTCGGAGAGGGGAGATTTTGTGGGTGGAGATTTTCTGGTTATTCCCCTCCTCTGTGATTCTTTGAAAGCAGCCATTTGTAAATAAATTCCAAACCAGAGATGATGTGGGAGATGCCATGATGGGATTTGCCAGCACTCTGGAGAACAGCAACAGGGTTCTGGCCAACCATCCTCAAAGTGGCTTCACATAAACATACCTGCTGGCCAGGGATTTTTAATTTTTTTTACACAAGCTCTAGCTCTATGGATAGCTCAAGATTGCCTATAGGCTACTTCTGGTTTTGGACTCCCCCCACCCCAGAAATTAAATAAATCCAGAGAAGCTCTGAAGAAGGGAAATAAGGAACTCAGTAGGACAAAAAACCCCAATTCTATGCTTCAGGTGGATGAAAGCATATCTTTTCGCTAGAAGCAAAATCTCAAGGATGCGGGGGGGGGGGACGGGGGGGAGGAAGACAGAGGTAGAAGAAAGGGAAGTAGAACAACAACTTGTATCAAATGCTAGAAGTGAAAGTGTGCAAAGAATTTACCCTTAAAGTGACACAAAGCAATACAAGAGATAAACGACGTGATAACACCAAGCAGGCACAAATGAAAACCTGGGTCTTCAGGAAAGGGGAAGCTGAAGGCTCATGCAAAGATCACAGTGTCTACAGGGATCTTGCAAAATCTATGGCAGCTAGAATGACAGGGATACTGCCTGGATTCCTGCTCCTGGGTTACTCAACTGCTTTGAGGAACGAGGGCATAGATTTGCTTAGCAAGGGAAATGCAGGCTTCATGTTCTAGGTCATGGTTTTCACTTTTAGGGCAGAGGTCCTGGGCTCCAAAGTCCCAATAAACCCATGTGAACAAGGGGATGGAAAGCAAACATTCCAGGGAAGAGAGGAAGAGAGAGAACTCTGCATTTACCAAGTCACAGGTTCAATCCCTTCCACCTCCAGTTAGAAGGGGTATCAGGTAGCAGGGACAGAAAACAAACTCCCTGAGATCTTGGAAGGCTGCTGATGGTCAGCCATGGACAAGATGGACCGACAGTCTGAGTCAGTATAAGGCAGCTTCATATATTCCACGATATTGCAGAAGGGAAGACAAATGCCATTTGCTATTTACATGGGCTTTTTGGAGGCAGTGGTGACAGTAGCCCAAATTCAGAGCAAGAAGACATCTGTGAATTGATCGATGGATGAGGGGAATACTGCAATGTTTTACACTGTCTTTACTCTCACATAGTGTCCCCTTCAAAATCAGTTAAGGGGCAGTTTGCCACAGGACTGGATCCTCTCATTTTAATCCCCTTGGCAGGCACACAAAAAGGAAGCTTCAGTTATGCCACGCTCATAACACCCCCCCCCAGCCATGCAACCGAGCACAACATTAAGTGTATAATATATAGGGTTGCCAACCTCCAGGCGGTCGCTGGAGACCCCCCCCCCAATTTTACAACTAATCCCCCGG